TTTTTTTTTTTTCTTTCCCCCCCCCCCCCAACCCTAAAAATGTGTTTTGTACTGATGGATCAAAGGGTTGCTAGCATTTTAGAAAGCCTCTTTCCAATGTCTCAACAATCCCTTTTCTTCCTTTCCCGTTTTAGATCTTCTCAAAGGCTCTAGGAACCTGTGAAGCGTTCAGGCACAGGCTTGAGCTTTGCGCCTCATGGGCCTTTAAGGCCAGAAAGGATGGTGATGTTCATATAAACCCCTTAATCCAACACCACCTACACTGGTCCTGGCATTTTGGTTTCTGTTTTCATCTGCCTGAATGTTGACAACCGATGGGCGTTTGCTCTGTGTGTGCAGGGGTCGGTGCACACAGAGACACAGACAGAGCAGGTGGCTTTAAATGTAATTTAAAAGCGTGTGTATGACTTTAGCGCCGGCTTGATGACCCTGAAACCCCGAAGTCTCCTGATAGCAAACACCAAGCAGCGCTGAATTTCATCAATGTTATTGAGCAGTGGCCTTAAGAAATAACCTTTATAAGAGCAACTTGCAATTACTAATGGGCCGCCCCAATGAAGGGGGGTTCTGGGAGCCTCTTTTTAAGGGGCTGGTGAAAAATGACCGAGAAGAACAAAGTTCCTGTAGCTCCTATAGCGGCCTGTACGTCTGACTCCTCTGCAGAGGTCTGCATCCCCTCGTGGGCACGCACTGCAAGAGGTTGGACACCAAAGGACACCCCCCCAAGCTGTTCCAGCCTCATTCCTAAGCCAGAAATCAAGAGAAGTGATAATTTTAAGACTGTGTTTTTGCAAGACCTGCGTCCATATCCCGTTCCTGCAAGCACTGCCAGGGGTGTGCTTGTTCTCCAAGCTGGAGCTGGCACTCCAACACAGAGCCAACCCACTGGGCTCACTGACGGCGTGCATAGAGCTGGGTTATGGCAGATTATTTTTAAAACAAGCTAACCCATGAGGGTGACCACAGTTCTAGGCAGAGATACTCCAGGTAGGGAAAAAACCCAGCCCTACTCAGCTAAAGAGCATCCTTCCTGTTCACTGCCAGGCACCTTTCTGAAACAGCCCAGCTGTCTGGGAGAGGAGAAATGCCCTTTTCAGCGAGCAGCTTCACAGATGGCAGCGCTGTGGATCACAGGGAAGCGGGCTGTCAGGCAAGCTGAAACGGCGTGGGCACACACGCGTGCACGCACACGCGTGCGCACCGCCGGCCTTCCCGGGAGCTGCGCTTCGCCTGCGCGCTGGAGGCGAGCTGCTGGGACTCGGAAGGGGAGTGGTATTTTAGGTATTTTGGGCTAGCCTGAGAAGTGGGGCTGGGGGGAAGTTGGGGAGCTTTAATTAGGTTTGAAAAGATGTGGGGCGTGAGCAGGATGCTGTGGATTTTTTTGCAGGAGTAAGCAGGCGAACACCCCGTGTCGCTGAGCGCGCACAGGGGGAGGTGGGTATGGGGACTGTGGGATAAATCCTTCCCCCTTAGCCTTCCCCTCCTCTTCCTCAGTGACTCACTACACTTGCCGAAGCTTGAAACGATTTGAGATCCTTGATGGCAGGTGAGGGCAAGGTCATGGTGTTAGGCGGGAGGTTGGACCACAAACCCCTGCACCTCCCGTTCCTCTCCTACTGCTCCTTCCCCTGTTCCTGCCCGACCACCCCCTCCCTGCCAGGCCACTGGAACAAAACCCTGCTAGCACAGTGCAATTCTTGCTAGAACAAATTGTTGCTGGCATTGTAGGTTATTTAAATCTACATATTATCTCTTCCTCTGTATTACATTAGCTTCCTCCCAAACCTTCGCCATCTGTTCCACCCTCGGTTATGAATGTGAGAAAACTGAACATGCTGCTTCACAGCTACAGCACTTAAAAAGTATGATGTGCATCCTAATGGCTTTTCTGTGCGCCTTTCCATGCAGGCTGTGCCCCCCTTCGTTATTGCTCGGGATTCACTCGAAAGAGCCATTAACGTTACGTTGCATTAGTGGCTCTTCACCTCCCGCGTTGCAGCTCAAGCCCTCGCCGGGAGGGAGGTTGGTGTGTGCTGGCTCCGGCGCCCGGGCTGGGGTCTGTCTGCGAGGGGGGAGCGCGTCTGACTCGGTGGGGTGGGGAGAGACACCAGCACCTGGCTCTCAGCGAGGAGAAACAGGGGGGTTCGTTCCTCCTTTGGGCTCCGTGTCTCTCGCAGCTCCCTGTCGCCGCGTGAGGTCCCGTTATCAAAGGTGCTGGACCCTCTGCGAGTCCCACGGGCTTCCGCAGGGTTGATGTCCGCACAATTAGTGCTGCTTTTCCCCTCTGAAAGCCTGGCAGGCTCCTAATGCTGCCTGTCCTTTCTCCAGTGCTCCACAGGCATCTGTGCCAGCAGGGAAGGACAGCCCGGCCTGGCCTCGGCTTGTCTGCTCACTACCGTGGGCTCAGGGCTGGCTTCACTTGGAGCTCTCTTTTTTTTTTTTTTTTTTGACTGGCAAGATGTGTCCTACGGCACAGTCCACCAGCAAACACACAGTGTTCGGCTCTTCTTCAATGCTGTGTGGGTGCTTTGGAGCCTGCGCCGAAGCTTGCAAGATGAATAGGAAGCCAGAAAGCTACAGGGCTGTGTGTGGGGGTGACTTCTCCACAGCCACAGCAGGGGAACTGTGGCAGAGCTGTAGTTTAGGCCTTCCCGCATCCCGCCTGCTCACAGTTTGCAGATGTCCCTGCTCCCTCCTCTCTCCTGCCCGGTCGCTCCCATCCCCTGGCTGCAGGTGCAGACACCTTTGCGGTGCTGGCAGAGCTGTCGGGGGGCAGCTGGAGGAGTGGGGATGCTGTAGGTGTGGCTCAGGAATTGTACCTTACAGACCGTGATGCCTCCAGCCCAAACTCTGGGCATGACTGACAAACGTCATTCCAGTTTCATGATCCCTGTCTCCCAAACAACCAAGCATCATCTTCTGCCACCCTGACAGGGAGGTTTAGCTCCTTTCTTCTGCCAGAGGCTGAAATGTCACCACCTGAGAGTTACAGATTTTCCATTTCTCCTGTGTAGGTCTGGCCTGGGCTGCAGGACGTCCAGCAGCGTGGGACCCCTCCAGCCCTGCCCTGTGTTTGCTGCTGACTCAACAAGGGGCAATTTGGAGCGGTGGTGGGTTTCCCACTGCTCCCACCAGACCCCATCGCCTCTCCTAGCACTGCCAAACCAACGGGGAGAACAAGTGAGGAAGCTGCCCTCAACAGTCAGTCCGAGAATCAACCAAAAACCAGGACAGGACCTGAGAAATCACACAGCTCAGCCTCCTCCCAAGGCCAGTTCAAGTTATATCTGAGCTGCAGGTGTCCAGCCAAGTCAGAGACCACCTCCTCCCTCCCAGCCCCCACGGCCTCCCCAGGCAATTTATTCCAGCTCTCACTAGTAATAACTAACAGCTAACCACTGCCTCTAATGTTTGAATTTAAGCCCATTACTTCTGTCAAGAACAGATCATTCCCTTCCACTTTGCAGCAGCTGGTTTAGGTGTTTGAAGATTGCTCCGTCTCCTCTTCTTCAGCCCGAACACCTCCAGCTCTTCTCTCAGCCAGTTGTTAATGCCCAACGTGTCCTTGTCTCTCCCAGCCGAGGAGCCCAGGACTGGATGTCCCACGAGGGGTTATCCTCCAAGTCCTACAATCTATGCTCCTGCTTCTGCTCTTCACAGTAGACGTTTGGCTGCAGTCCTCAGTATCATCCTGCTCTGCCAAGCTCCTGGCCAGCCCACTACCCTTCCCGTACTTGCCCGTGGCTTTCCCTGCCCGGGTATCCTTCCTGAATTGCATCTTCTTGTCTGCAGTTTGCCAAGACCCTTTTAGCATTACATCCCCCCGCTGAGGGGCTGGTAGCCCCTCCTGGCTCCGCGGCATCCACACACCAAAGAACATGAGCTGTATCCCGTCGTGCAGATCAGTACAGGAAACCCTGAGCAGCGGTCAGCTCGGGAAGGCCACCCCTTTGCAATGTCCCCAGCTCCCTCCTCCACCTGGGCCAGGCCTCCAGTGTGACATGGTGACAAGGCCACCGCCTCGGTGCCACCACCAAGCAGCAGAGCGATGGAGAGCCAGTGCAGGTTGAGCCCAGCTACCGGGATTGGGATCACAACAGGATCCAGCCACACTCTTGGGCCAGCGTGACATTCTTTTGCCACAACATAACCACGAGGAAGCATCACCAACACCTTGCCTACTCCTGCAGCTTTTCCACCCAGTGAATGCTCAGAATCCCAGCAATAACATATTTTTATTGCTGGCCCCGAGATTGAGTTGCAAAACAAACTCAAACTTGCTGCTCGCATCCTCCAGTGAAAAATCTGCTGCTCCCACCAAGAGTTTGCAGAGAAAACCCCACACTGACTTCCAGCACACGCTATTATGTAGGATGGGAGAAGGGAGGAGGGGGAATTCAAGGCACAAACCCACGATAATTTGAGGTTTTCGCTTTCTGCCCCACTGCAGCACCACAACAGCTCTGCACCGGGTCTCTCAGCCAGATTTCAACACAGAATTTCGCCTACTTACCGTACTGGATTTGAGCGCATCCCCATTGTCCTCTTCAGATTCTAGTGCAACAGGTAAAGATTTCTGTGGCGGGGAGAAGGTTAAGTCCCACCTTAGTAGCCGAGGTTCAGCTTTGTCCCCAAATCTCAGGTTTTCCAGTTTCTGCACCGTGGGCTCGGCAGAGGAAGCTGGCCTGAAATTCTCTTTGTTCTGGGACTTAGACCTCAGTCTCTGAACCCCGAAGCCCCGGTCTTCCCCGCGGTGGTCATCAGCCATGCTCCGGCAGGGTCCCCCTTTGCTATAGTGTCTTTTTTGGGTGTGAATCTCTTGCATATAAGAATCCATCCTCATGAGGGGCTTCATCTCCATCTCGTAATTGCTCATCTTCTCCTCGTCTAGCTCAAGCAGTTTGGAGCTCCCTGAGCTGTGGTTGTGGGACCTGTGGTGGGAAGTCCATGAAACCGTGGCTGGGGAATCTGTCCACCTCTCTCTTTGCTTGTGGTTGGAGGCCGAATGTTTGTGTCCTCCGCTCCGACCTCTGTAGTCTTCAGGGACGGAGGCTGAGCCCAGCTGGCCGCTGCGCAGCGTCCCGCTTCTCACGCCGCGAGTCCCGCCGACCTTCTCTTCGCTCCAGCTGTTGGGTCGCAAGTAATCCCCACCGCGTCCCTCCAGCAACATCTGGATCTCCCCACCCCTCTCTTCATCCACCGAGACCTGCCTGGAGAAGTGAGCGCTCTTGTTCCTGCAGGAGGGACCCAGGGGCGGCGTGGAGGAGGGACTGGCAGGGAAGCTCTGCAACGGGCTGTCATCGGGAGTCAGGTCGGACGGGGTGGTCCCTTTGCGGTACAGCTCGGGGCTCTCTTGTTGGAGAGGTGTCCCGGTGGAGAGGACCTCAATGTCATCGCTCGAGTTCTGGCGCTTCGGTCTCTGGCATTCGAGCCCTTTTTGTGTAGTCGTTAAGAGAAAAGAGAGGGAGAGAGAGAAATGCAACAGGATTATTTCTGTTCCGCGGGCGCCCACTGGGTTTTTCATGTCAAAGAATAGGGCTGAGAGGGTTGGACGGCAGGGGAACCGCGGGGCGCGATCAGGACAGCACCAGCGTAGCACAATAAACAGCTTCTGCGACTAGACCCAGAGAAAAGGCATCGCTGGTTTTACAACAAACCTACTATTCCCCCCCGGCAGCCACAGAGCAGCGCGGCGCGAGCGGCTGCAGCCCGGTGTGGAAAATGGTTTGGCATCAGCTACCAGTGGCGTTGTCAAGACCGAGGCATTCTGCACTCAGGTTGTGTTTCTCCACTGCTGTTAACACACGGGCTACCAACCCTTGGCACCACTGTGGCTCTCATCTCCAGCGGGTTCAGACAGGCTCCAGGGCGGCTGCTCCTTTAGCACCCGCAGTTCTCGCCGGCCCTGCTGCCGGAGGGCACCCTGCCTGCTTGGGGACGTGCGTGGAGGAGCCTGCGTCTGTATTACAAATAAAAAGACTTGCAAGAGTTTTGCAGCCCCGGCAGAGCTGCTGGGAGCCCTGTGCAGGCAGGGAGCGGGCACCAGGGCCTTCTGCCTTTCCCCAACAGGTCGCAGGGATGCAGCAGCTCACAGCCCCGTTCCAAACCAGCCCGTGTTGCTCCACAGCACCATTCCTGCCCCACCGGTTTTTTTGGATCTCTCTGACCACCTTTGCCCATCAGTTCCCAGTTCACCCTGAGCCCTGTGGGGTGCTGCTGGGGTCACCTCGTGCCCCACTCGCTGCTGACAGCCTTCACCCCCCTCCCTGGATGGGGAACACATCGGCTTTGCAGATGAACGGCTTCAGAAGGGGAACCTCACCTTGAAGCTTGCGCAGGGAGATGGTCCCCTCTGGGCAGATGGGCAAGCTTCTCACTAAGAATAAACCCCACAAAACACATATCGAGCAGCTCTCCTGCCCCATGCAGCAAGGAGGGTGTGGACATTTCCCCAGTCAGCCCCCCTCGCTCGACGTGACGGGGAGCACACGGGTGGTTGTGCCTCTAGGCAGGAGCAAGGGAGCAAGTTCAGGGCTACATGAGTACAAAATACACCGTATCTTTAAAGATAAGATCTTCTTTACCGTGCTGAACTTCGCTCCCTTTGAGCCCAGAGACACCCCAGACAGTATCTCCCTGGGGACAGGGACTTCAAGAGCAGCTGATTGTCTTCTGCTAGCAAGAGACGTGTCACTTCTCTGGACATTTAGAAAAAAAACCCACATTGATAAAACCCCACGTTATTTCAAGGGGGTGCAGGCTAACGGTGGTTAATTCTCATTTTACCCTCTCAAGGCATAGTTGTTCCCAGCTAAAGCCATGCCACGTTATGTGAATAATTTGATAAATATATTAACTGCCTAATGCCTCTGAAATGCATCTAATTGCAATTGCTATGGCTAGACGAGAAATGAGCCTCAAAAAAAAAGGAAGAACTCACTTTCTTACCAGGGTTTAAAAATAAATGCTCTGAAGCGCCTGCTCTAATCTCTTCACTTCTGCTGAGTAATTTTCTCTATCGCATCTTCTTGGGGAGCTGCTGCCGCCGGGACAAGCCTTCGCCTGCAGCCTCCCTGCGTCCCACTGTGCCGGGGTCTGGAGCTGTGCGGGGGATGACGGGAGCGTGGGGATGGATGTCCCCAACGAAGCACTTGCAGGGGAGGTAAATAGTAACAAGGCTGCTTGGAAATTTCCTACTGAAGCAATTTCTCCGTAGGAAATTGTCTCCTAATGACTGTCGATATTTTTTTTTTTTTGGTATTGTTTGCCACAGAAAAATCTGTTTGTGTTTTGGGACAATACTCAGATAGTCGGTTTAGCTCATTCCCTGTGTCCCTGTTTGTCTGTGGGAGACTGAACCTCCTGGGGTTTATCCAGGGCCCTTGAGCAACCCGCGTACTGGTGGGAAATTGTGGTGAAGGAGAAGGGTGGAGTTCACCCCCTCAGTTTTTGTTCAGAATGACCATCTCTGGGGAAAAATACAGACTGATTTTGTGGCTGTTGTGGAGACGTTCCCATTCCAGCCGCCCTCCAGTATCGCAGATGGGAAACTGAGGCAGGGACAGAACAAATGGCTTCCTGTGAGCAAGCTGCAAAGCCACTACGGAAACGGTCTCACCCGGGACTCAGGGTGTCCCTCTGTGTCTCAGGCTTTGGCCGAGCTTCCCCAGTTCAGGTCTCCAGGGCTCCCGCTGGAGTTCCAGGGACTTGAAAGCCTCCCATTAGCCCCAGCGGCCCCAAAGCCAATCTCCAACAGCACAACCAGCCTCACTACACCCTCTGCTCCCACACCCGAGCCCCAGCCCCAATCTCCCCTCATCCCCCGAGCCCCGCGACGGAGGTAAGAAAGCCCAGGGATACTCCAGCATCCTCACCCAGGAGACGCACACCAGGGACCACCCTCTCGTCCTAAATCTTCCCCACCCACACCTGCAACGAGCTGAGCTAATTCTGTCTCCCCATGGGTTAATTCCTGGAGTTTTGCAGCTGGGGCTCGTGGAGGGGCAGGGGCCAGCAATGCCAGGGCACGGCCACCCCTCCAGCCCTGGAGCCCCGCGGGGATGCAGGCGTTTCCTTGCAGAGGAACTCGACAGATGCACGGTGCCGTCTTGCTGGTTTTCGACACCCGAGGATGTGCAACAATTATTCTGAGCTAAAATTAGTCGCGGAGCACGTGATGTTCCTGGAAGAACGGTTGTGAGAGCGCGAAGGAGGATGCGGAGCACCAAATCTGGATTTCCAGCAGGATTGAGGCAGCCGTGCCCAGCCACGACGTCTTCAAAGCCACGCACGTGTCCCCGGGCGCTGCCGTGCCCCTGAGGACCCACGGACGGGATTCGGGAGCGGTGCTGAGCTCCTGCCTCTGCCACCAACACACTGTTGTCACCTTGGGGGAGTCACTTCACCGGCACCATCCAGCCCACGGGCTGACCCCGCTGGCAGCCACGAAGTGGGGAGGCACGACCACAGCGAGCGTGGCGGGGATGTGGAGGATCCCTGCAGCAGACAGAGGTGGAAAACCTCGGGGGAGAGGGTGATGCAGGGTGCTGAGCAGGGATATTTTTGTGTTTTTTTCCAGGTAAAGGCCTTGTGGCGCTGCTGTGGTGTGTCTGGGGTTGCCGGAACCAGTGTCTGCAGGTCTGGAGTCTGTTTCTGTTCAAATTGGGGTAGGGATGGAGTGAGGGGGGGCACAAACCCCCCTGCGGTGCTGTGAAGGTGGGTGGCACACAGCACCCACAACACCTTACACAGGGGGGGGACATCCAGCCCCCACAACTCTGCAACAGGGGCACATCCAGCCCCCCCGACGCTGTGCAAGGGGAACAGCACCTGCAGCATGGGGGGCACATACGGGCCCTGTACCACTGTGCATCTCCCCCCAGCCCCACTTCTCAGGCTAGCCCAAAATACCTAAAATACCACTCCCCTTCCGAGTCCCAGCAGCTCGCCTCCAGCGCGCAGGCGAAGCGCAGCTCCCGGGAAGGCCGGCGGTGCGCACGCGTGTGCGTGCACGCGTGTGTGCCCACGCCGTTTCAGCTTGCCTGACAGCCCGCTTCCCTGTGATCCACAGCGCTGCCATCTGTGAAGCTGCTCGCTGAAAAGGGCATTTCTCCTCTCCCAGACAGCTGGGCTGTTTCAGAAAGGTGCCTGGCAGTGAACAGGAAGGATGCTCTTTAGCTGAGTAGGGCTGGGTTTTTTCCCTACCTGGAGTATCTCTGCCTAGAACTGTGGTCACCCTCATGGGTTAGCTTGTTTTAAAAATAATCTGCCATAACCCAGCTCTATGCACGCCGTCAGTGAGCCCAGTGGGTTGGCTCTGTGTTGGAGTGCCAGCTCCAGCTTGGAGAACAAGCACACCCCTGGCAGTGCTTGCAGGAACGGGATAAGGACGCAGGTCTTGCAAAAACACAGTCTTAAAATTATCACTTCTCTTGATTTCTGGCTTAGGAATGAGGCTGGAACAGCTTGGGGGGGTGTCCTTTGGTGTCCAACCTCTTGCAGTGCGTGCCCACGAGGGGATGCAGACCTCTGCAGAGGAGTCAGACGTACAGGCCGCTATAGGAGCTACAGGAACTTTGTTCTTCTCGGTCATTTTTCACCAGCCCCTTAAAAAGAGGCTCCCAGAACCCCCCTTCATTGGGGCGGCCCATTAGTAATTGCAAGTTGCTCTTATAAAGGTTATTTCTTAAGGCCACTGCTCAATAACATTGATGAAATTCAGCGCTGCTTGGTGTTTGCTATCAGGAGACTTCGGGGTTTCAGGGTCATCAAGCCGGCGCTAAAGTCATACACACGCTTTTAAATTACATTTAAAGCCACCTGCTCTGTCTGTGTCTCTGTGTGCACCGACCCCTGCACACACAGAGCAAACGCCCATCGGTTGTCAACATTCAGGCAGATGAAAACAGAAACCAAAATGCCAGGACCAGT